CCGACGCGAAAGCGCCATCATTTCGATGGACTAAAAATTAGAGTGATATTATACGGCATAAGTCATAATCTAAGTATGAATGTATTGTGTATGCGTATGTGTGGTGCGTGTATATATTTGCATATTATTGTACAGCGCCTCTCTGATATTATCTTGGAACTAATCTTCTGTTATTTTTTCATCTGTTATACCGATATTGGACGCACACGTATGTAAAAATAGTCGGACAAGAATATTTTTTACATTAGACTTTTCAGCCCAATTTTAATGGTTCCATAACATTCTATTCTGCAGTCCGCAATTCGGGCTGCTCTTATTCAGCGTCTTAAAACTGTTAAACTTTTATAAAAAACAAAAATAGATAGCTCTATACAATATGTTATCCTAAGAGCAGAATAGAAATTAGTGAATAGAAACAAATTTTGTTATTAATTCTTTTTTTTCCAAATAAAGTCGAGCAGCCCGAATTCCGTTTTTGTGTACACTTTACTCCTGCAAAAGGATTTACAATTCTATGCAACCAATAAAAAGATATTCTTGTTCGAAAAAATAATAATGTCCGGCCGGTAACTCCAGCATCCCCTTAAATAGCTAAAGTTAAATTTAATAGTTTCTAATTATGTACCTTTATATTGTGTGTGTATGTGCAGTATTTATATATATATATATAAGGATTCTTATTCTCTCTATACTAATTAGGTAAAGACAGGAACAATAACATCACTGAGTTTCTCCTGTAAAAAGAGATTTTCTTTTATTTCACACATCTTATTCTTGTTCCTATTTACAACTATTTACTGAGCTTACCTGTAAAAAGAGAAACGACATTAAATGTCAATTATTCACTCTGTCTTTTCCCCAATTACAGTCTTTACGTTCGTAACTTTTATACATTAATCATTACACGTGGTCACTTCTCTCCTACTCCTCTTTCTTACTTTCCTCCTTCTCTCCTTGTGTGTGTAAAAACCTATTTTACCTGCGCGCCGTAAGAATGCGCGGGATAATTAAAAAGGAAGTACCCCGTACTTTCTTTACATATATATAAAACATGATTTTTATATAATACGTAATATCAAAAGTTACATAATTAGAAATTATTAAATTAACTTTAGCTATTTAAGTAAAAATAGGTTATGAGTGTTATAAAATCAATTTGAGATTGGGCTATAATATTATTGTCGTTTACATACAAAGACTATGTTTCTTTACCTACAAATATAAAATATTGTTACCATTAATTATATTGCATTACGGAATCTATTTTATGTAGAAGACACCCGATTGACCACGTTACAATTGATTACAGTCATTCACAACTATCGATGCCTAGAATTTTTCCACTGGATGGTTCCTGTGAATGGCCTATGGTTTATTGCAACGTGGTCAATCGCGTGCCATCTATTTTATGTTAATAAATCAATGCATAGATTATAGTATTTTTAAAATTACGGCATCGTGTAAATATATGCATAAAGTTTTTAGCTTACCTTCTATATTTTCAAAATCACTTTTATCGTTATTCCCTGTACTGGTACTGGTATTTGCTGAAATAAAACAAATTATAGTTTAGATTATTATGTAAATGTAGGCAATTTTGTCAAATGTAAATCAATTTTTGTAACTTACCTTCTATATTTTCAGAATTGTTTCTGCTACTATTGCTCGTACTTGCTAAAATAAAACCATTTTATATAAATTGATAATATTCATTTTATTGTATATTGATATTTTGCGCATAACATCTATTATGATATTTACATTTGGCACAAGGTAGGTTGTAGCTGCACAGCGTCTTTTTTTAGCACTTTCCAAAAGTAAAGTTGCAAAAGTCATATCTATAAAATAGGTTAAGTTATAATATAGTATTTTATATTTATAAAAATATCGAAATTATTCATTATATTACATTAAGCATTGGTACCTTGTCGTGCTTTTTCTGCATCTAAAGCATTTACAATTATTTTATATTCACTGTTATCCTCTATATCTATCAGTGTCAGTTCTTCACTGAACGCCGCCATGTTTTTACTGCAACTGCCTCACCTCGCGAACCGCAGTAGTCGAAGCAGGAAGTGACGACGAAATCTATGACGTCACACGAATGTGAATACGCTTTGAAAGTGTAAGATATTTATCGACAGTCTGTAAATTTTTAAATAAAAGATGATAAAGATTAATGTTCGGCAACGACTTTTTTGAATGATAGGACGGTTACGTCCTATCTCTGACCTTATTTGTTATATTTAATAAATAATACCGGCAAAAGTTATTAGGTAGTCAGGAAACAATAGTTTATGTAAGAAATAAATTAGCACTGCTTCTAGATTTAATACTTAACATTTAATTCAGAAAAGATGTTATAAATGATTTTTCGTATAACGACCTCGACAGATTTTACAAGTTCTAAAATTTCTATTACTTCCGACAGTCTCTCTGTTTGCTTTCTGTTTGCGACTATTTCGCTTGACCCGACGTTAGAGAGTGAATTTGATTTAATATCTCTCTACCAGGTCGCCTCGCATGAACATTCTAGAAAACGGAACGGTTACATTATTATTTGGTAAAAATACGGGGCGGGAGCGCGCCCGCGCAGAATCGATTATATCGAGGCGCTGCTCAATCATCTGGCTGCCGTGAGCTGGCGCCGTCTATCGGTGGTATTTTTTGCTATCTTTCAAAAGCTTACTGCCGCGTATATCGAAACGATCTTTACTGTGCTGCCAGTACTGCCAGTGAATACCGAAACGCAGCCTTCGTTAAAAGGTGAGGCGCCGTGAGCATCACGGCTGCGTGACGTCAGAAATGCGGGAAAAATGACAGTTTGGAAAAAAAGAACGTCATAACCAGAGAGAAGACTAAGAGTGGACATGCCCGCATTTTACGTGTGTCTGTGGGGTAGCGTCTCTATGTGCACAAAACATGCACATTGAACTACGTAGCCAATGTCCACGAATCCCGTAGGTAATGTCCACAATCTTTTGGGTCTCTTCCGTGCTACGTCCACGACTTTTTGGTTCCGATATGTGCTATATCTACAAAGTGTCGGTAATGCATACTTGCACCGACGAGATACTATTAAAGATTGTCAGCCCTTGTGTAAATGTGCGGGCCCGCTAAGTGGGCTTGATGAGCCTGGCGTCGTCGGTAAATGGGTCTAACGCTTGTCACGTCCCGGCGCGGTGGCGGTAACACGTAGTGTTCGCACCTTTACGCGAGACTCAATCGATAAGATTCACGGATCAATAAAGTAGTAAAAGATCAGAGAAGAATATGAAACATAAATGTTGTAATTTAATATAAAAATCGTAACCAAAACCGCCTTCTAATGGATAGCGAATTAGGTTTACAAAAATCTACTAGAATTTCTTGTAAACCTTACTACATCGTTTTGTTAGGTTTACAAAAATCTACCAGAATATTTTGTTAACTTTACTATATCGTTTTGTTAGGTTAACACAACTTTGTAGTGTTAAAAAACAAGTTCGGATAAGTGTGGTTTTTGTAAAATACTAACAATATATTTTGGTTTGAAGTATACTCAGTGATGTGATGTTTCCTACCGGGCTCCCGGCTTCTGAGCCCCACGCAAACGAGATCATGTACGCGCTTCTCGCTTGCGTGGGGCTCAGGAGCAGAGCTGCCAGAAACGAGCGGCAGCATCACACAAATACAACCGAGAACCAATGACGTCACCCTATCCGTGTGAGCTTGATTCGGTTCAATAGAAGAAAACGCACGTCTCCCTTCCACCGAGCAGACGATAAATGCTAAGAAGTAAGTGTTTCTAAGGCAAGTGGCTGGAATATGAAAAATCCCGTGTTCGAGATTTGCTTCTCGCAACTTTCTTTTCTTTTTTCCGCATTTGTTTCTAACAGTGTAAATTATCAAATAATCTTTTTTTGCTTAAAAAATAATAGTTTATATTTATTAATAATATTCGCATATGTTAAAATTAACAATTTTTTAAATAATTCAGATTGCTATTGTCAATAGAAAAATAAAGTTATTTTGCAATATTGCAACAAAGTGTAAATTTAACATATGCTATGTTCTTGCCACTCGCCGTATTCGTTTAGCCATGCTTGCTTTGGTATTTATGTCTATCGACTCGAAAAATTTTACATACCTGTAAAACTTTTAATTATTTCCCAACTTAGTCACTCGCGTCCTGATATTTTTTCTCTCGTTCTTTCTTCTTCAGTTCAATATTTTTCTATTCGTACATTCGGAGAATCCGAATAGTGAGATGAATAATGTACTTAATTTTCGTACACTCTAGTATCTCAATCTGAGATCGATGTACATTTTAACGTCTCAAATGTAGACAAATTAATTTCTATATAAAAAATAATTAAAATTTTTATACCAACAACCTATGACGGCTCCATATGCCATATTATATTTTATTCCATTTTTAATCATTTATTTTAAACTACTGCATATTAGCAAGAACTGTACTGTGGAGATTAGTGGAGGAGACGGTAACATATATTACAAATGCAGTCAAATAGATTTATTGTACTCTTGTTAGTATTGTTAAAATATTGTAAAAATAATGTATTATTAGTTTATTAGTAATTATAATAGTATTATTAATAATGGTCTTCCGCACCACCTTCGAGGTTCCACTAACGGTGCGTTAGGTTTTTTTAGTGGAACTTCGCCAGGAGCTCTATTATACCACATTTCATTATTCTTTTTATACTTCTTTTACACATATGTGATGTCATTTGCAGACAAGATACTCTTTTTACACTTGTCATTTACAAGTGTGATGTCATTTGCAGACAAATAACTTATTACACCTCTGTAATAAAATTAGTAGTCACTTTTTTCTGTTATATAAAAAATACTATTTATTTGTAACATTATTATTGCGTATCATTAGATGTTGAGGGACCAGCTATATCATCAACGTCTGCAGCATGTAGATTAAGACAACTTTTATGGGACAACTTTTTTAGGACATGTAAAATATAATTTGTTCGATGACATGAGAGACAAATGTTTTTCATTAATCTCCATCTCTAAAATAGATTCTTTTCTTGCATTCAAAGCTGATTTTAAAACGCAAATGGCATTTACAAAGACAGATAAAAGGCTATTTCGTTTTTCCGTTTTTAAGTCTGATAAAATTAAAAATATTCTTTCTGAATCGGCATTAGAAATTGAAAGTGATCTAACAGAATTTATAAGGAATTTGTCATTTGGATATTTTACAAGATCTCTGGAGCGTTTACTTCGTAAAATCTGTTTCCACATGTCATAAAAACTTAATTTTTTAAGATTTGTTTTTCTGTTTCTGTAAAATTGAGATGTACAATAAACCATTCTTTTTTTTAACTATTTTTTTCAAAACCATCGAGAGTTTGAACTATAAAAAAAACGTCATTGAATGATGTTTCTCTGTCAAAATCAAATAAAACAACGTCTGAATTAAAAACTTTCAATTTTGACAAAAATTTGTCATTAATTGATAATCTTTTACTAATTTCCTCGGCAGCTGTCACATAAAATTGCAAACAATTTTCTCGAACATTCGCAACTATGTCTAAGTATCCGTTTTTTGTCAGTTCGTCGAGGTATTCTTCACATTCTAATCCTAAATTTATTTTATTTAAAGATTTTTGATTATTTTTGTCAAAAAATTGAATATTATTGCAGACGTTTTTTAAAAACTCAGGTTTTAGAAAGTGTTTACAAACTGTCGTTAGAAACTTTACTGATTTTTGGTGTAATAAATAAATCCTCGTTTCTAGTGTTTGAAAAAAGACATTAAATGAATTAAAAGAATCTAAAATATGTTCTAAAAATAAGAAATATGCTTTTACATCTAAGTATTGCATTATTTTTAATAAATCTTCTCCAGATTTTAATTTTTCATCAACGATTCTTTCAGTTAAAAAATGTTTGATAGTATCCCAAAACTCAAAAAGTCTTTTAATACACGTATGATGAGAAAGCCACCATGTATCAGCCAATCTTAAAATTTTGCGGTTTGTTCTTTGAAAACATTCTGTAAATTTTAGATAAATAGCCGAACGTTTTGAACTACCGTTAATATAACTTGCGATTTTTTAAAGAAATTCTTCGAAATTCCAGTATTTTAGCACATGCAGAATGCAGCAGAATGGCACGGACATGAAAATGTTAATAAATTTTTACAAACCTCAGCTAGCTTTGTTTTAAATGATGACTTTTTTCCTATCATAACGGATGCATTATCGCACGACAGAGCAATAATATTTAAGAATGTTTAGTCTCCACACTTTAACTTAAATGCGTTAAATAATTTTTCCGCCCTACTATTGTAAGAATCTCTTAGGATAACACCGATGTCGGTAAACGATATTGAATCGATTAGTCCTCATATATATCATTGGGGGCACTAATATACATTTCCAAAGATGCGCAAATCGCATCTGCGGCTCCGGAAATTAGAATATTCGAGAAAGCTCGAGAACAGTCGAAGACAGAAAGTATATAAACGAGTGCAAAGAGGTCACAAGGCTTTTTCGGCTCTTGTTAGTAGAGAGAAAAGTATAGAGATATAAGTGCGAGTGTTTCACAGCGTAAAGGACTTCGCTTAAGGAAAGCTCCGTTGATCTCAAAGGCAATAAAGGACTTTTGCCAATCAATTGTTAAATAACTGGTCAATTTTCCAAGAAGGACTTTGGAAAAGGGCTAGCCAGCTACAAGTTAAAAGAAATACATATATTTCTAACAAAGATAAGTTTAGTGGATAAGACATTTATCATATCTGTAAGAAATTGGGTT